CATGGAGAGGACCTAGACCCCCTGTTTAGATGTAGCCCATAGGCTGCTCAGTTTCCATGAGGGTGACCTAGTATGGAGAACACAGGCAGTCTCTGACATGGACTCAGTGGCTCTTTGATCACCTCACGGCCACAGAGAAAGAGGATCTAGACAGTCCTGATGAAACCTTATAGGCTAGGGTCAGATAGTAGTGAAGGAGGACCTCTCTTATCAGTGGACTAGGGAAGGGGCATAAGAGGGGGTGGGAGAGTGGGACTGGGAGGAGATGAAGGAGGGGTAAAAAGTGAATAAATTCTAATATGTAATAACAAAGAAAACAATTTTAAATGTAGGGCCAAGCAGGGCATGGTGGCCCACACCTTTAATCCTAGCGCTTGGGAGGCAGAGGCAGGCGAATCTCTAAGTTCGAGGCCTGGTCTACAAAGTAAGTTCCAGGACATCCAGAGCTACACAGAGAAACCCTGTCTGGAGAAACAAAAACAAACAGGGAAAAAAAAAAAAAAAAAGGAAGGACTGAGGCTGTAGCAGTGGAAGAGTGTTTGCCTCACAATGCATGATGTCCCAGGATCATTCTCCAGTAGTGCCAATCCCTAAAAAAAGGAAAGAAACGAAGTTGATAGCTAAGAAAATAGATGGATATCGTTAAAAGTTTAATGTTTAGAATCTCACATAACAACTGGCATCCAATGAACGCTTGATAGATAATTACTGAGTAAGTGAGTTTAAAATGGCTATATCGTTGTATTTTTATTTTTCCAGCTATATTCAGTTATTCATACACATCTTAAGAATGCAGAGTAGTCTCATGGACATGGCAGCTTCACAGAGTTCTGCAGTGTGTGACAAAGAAATTGTGTTTTAAATTGGGACTTGATTTCTGTGGAGATCTGGGTGTGGAGGGGGACTGTCCTCATCCTCCCCACAGCCGCCCAAGTGTTGGGATTATGAGTATGTATCACCACACTCAGCCCCTCCTAAATGGTCAAAATGCAAAAGAGGTTTTGTTCTGTTTGCCCGAGGCACTGGCTATCACACCCAAGGCTTTGCACATATCAAGGCCAGCGCTTTACCGCCGAGTCATATCCCCTCTCAAGAGGTTCTGATAGGTTTATAATCTGACTGTACCGAACCCTTCTTTCTTAGTTTATTTGCCTTTATGTTGTAATTTCTTCTTCAGGAAATAAAGACTTTTTTAAACTTATTTTTAAATTTGAATTTGTTTTGTTTGTAAAGTAGACTGACTAAAAAATAATTTGCATCCCTAGGTTATTTCTAACAAATAAAATTCCAAATTATTTTATGTTTTATAGAGAGCATTTTGAGAAGGAAATACCAGTAAGTTATTTTTAGCATGTTGTATAAAAACAGGTTATTTGCTTAAATAAAAATTCCTGTTACAGTATTTAAAAAACAAAGCTTTTAATTGTACAATACCATTATTGTTAAATTCTGCATTAAATAGACCCAAGTTGTTTCGAATAAAACTCTTTTGTCTATTTAAGATGACACTAAGGACTAAGGGAAAGAATAAATAGGGGGAAATGAGTTCAGTTAGCAGAATGGTTTTGCAGGAGTGGGGGTGGTAGTTTGCTTCATAAGGCAGGCCTTCCTAAGTGTGTGTTTGCATGCATGCGTGCAAAGTGTGGTTACATGGTCTCAGTGCCAACTAGAACTCATTATATAATCCAGGCTGCTCTGCCCCCTAAGTGGTGGTAGTGAAGTGTGTGTCACAATGCCCAGTTTATGCTCTGTTCTTTTACCACAAATTGATGAAATCTTACTTGTGAAATATATGGATGGTAGGCTATGGGTTTTTCCAAATCCAAACCAACAGTTTCAAGCATCTTCAAAATTTACATACAGTTTTCAAGTTAGGTAACTTGAAGGGCTTGGCGGTAGTGGGCATGCCTGGAATCCCAGTACTAGGCACAGGCAGGAAGGTCCCTGTGAGCTCAAGGATAGCCAGGGCTCCATAGAGAACCCTGTCCTGAAAAGTATAATAAATGAATGAATGAGTGAATAATTGAATAAATAGAAGGTAGACATTTTTTCATTCTTGTAGACAGTATGTTTCAGAAATCCTCAGTATATTTCATTAATACTAGATTTCCACTTGTAAGCCATTTTGATGCTCTGATTTTATGTGTTTTTCACTAAATAACTGTCATTCTTTTATGGTAATAGTTTGGGCTATATTGTGTTCTGATAATATCTTCACAGAAATTTGACATAAACTCAAACGTGGACTGCACTGTCCTTTGAGGCCCTGCTTCTCTTCCTTGGGTTAGGTAATGTGTGTTGGATTTAATGTGAAAAGTGTGGCTGGAGCTAGGGAGGTGACATGGCAGTAAAGTGCCTGTCGTGCAAGCGTGAGGAGAGGAGTTTGGATCCCCAGGACCCATGCAAAAGCCGGGCATGGCAGCAGACATCTGTAATCCCAGAATGCTGAGACAAACTCTTCCCTGGAGCTCATCGGCTACCCAGGCTAGCTGACTCAGTGAACTCCAGGGTCACCGCTGTCTACCTCAGGCCTTCACACACACACCCCTGTGCATACACCACCCCTCCCTCACAAAGATGAGCCTATATGCATTTATATGTTACATATGTTTCCTTTAGTTTTTTGTACCTGTTGGTAATCCATGTTGTCCCTGTTTTACAAATTAGAGCAACCAGTACTCTCAGAACTTAGGAAGCTGAAGTAAAAAAGACTGTTGTGGAGTTCAAGTCCATCCTGTGCTACTTAATGAGTTACAGACCACCGTAGACTATGGAATGGACCCTGTCTCAAAACAGTAACAAAGTTAAACTCATTTGTAGAGATTTGTAGACTTGTTTAAGTAGTAGTGAAGGTTGGGTTAGTTCTGTTGAACTCTAAACCCCATTTTCACTCTCTATAGTCTTTTTATCTAATCTCATTAAAACCCCAATTTTATTCTATTGTGTTCTAATCTGTCTGATGTGTTCGTTTGATTTTCTGCCAGGCTCTCCTGAAGATGAGCTTTATCCTGCTCATATTAATAACCTCATCTCGGGGCCTGTTGCAGAGTAGTGAGTGAGCCACAGTGGTATCTCCGATAAGGTAGCATGAGGTTGGTCTTCTGGTTTAGGTAGTTTTAAGTTCATTGTTTGTGTGCCTCCTACCCTCTGGATGTCTTAGGGATATTTTCATACAGACACATACACATGCATATTCTTTTGTATAAATGTCCTGCCCCTGGCCAACCATTGATCACCTCCTCTGTGTGTGTGTGCACATATATGTGAGCAGCTGGAGGCCATAGGTCACCTCAGGCATTGTTCCTCAGTCACTGTCTGACTTGTATTTTGAAATAAGGTCTTTCACTAAGACCTGGGACTCTTTGCTGGCCAGCAAGTCCCAGGACTCTCCTTGTCTCCACCTTGCCAGTGCCGTGGTTACAGACACACTCTACCACACCTAGACTTTTGTATGGGTACTAGGGATCAAACTCCGGTCCTCCTGCTTGTGGCTAGTGCATCACTAACTGAACTGTCTCCCTAACTTACGTTTTTGAAAGTCTTAGGCTGTAGTCTGTGCTAGGCTGGCGCTCTGGAACAAGTTGCCCTCACACTTGTGACAGTTTCTTCCTCAGTGTCCCAAGTTCTGAGATGACACCAGGCCTGGCTCTTATTTTTGGAGAACTTGTTTGGTGGTTCCAGCAGTGGAGTACAGCGACTCCAGTACCCTTGGATGGCAAATGACCATCCTCTTTAACCTACCAAGAATGCATCTTTGGAAGAGACATACATGGAACAGTGAGGGAGGGAAAGGACACCAACTTGGGTAGCTGAATAAGCCAAATCAAACTGGCAATCAGTGGGGTGGCAGATTTTGCAAACAGGTCACACTCATATCTGTTTATCTCTTTTATGGATGAATGAATAAAATGCATTATTTGAATATATAGCTCTTCTCTTTTGGGGATATAAGCTCATTTAGCCCACACTGGCCTTGAACTTCCAGTCCTTCTACCTCAACTTCTGACATGCTAGGATGAAAATCGAATGCCACTTTGATGGTTTTATGTGTTGCTGGGGATTGAACCCATGGCTTTGTACATTCTAAGCAAGCATTCTACTACCAACTGGCTATGTCGTTAGCTCCGTATATTTTAAACATGAGAATCTTATCTTCTGTGCCCACTGCCTGTCAGTGTTTCCTACATAAAGCTGACCTGTGGTCTTGGATCTATGACATTTGCATTGATGTAATGAACTTATTTTCTAATAATGTTAACATGGCTATGAAAGATGAAAAGATAAAAAGATATGGTAAATGTTGCAGGATATTTGATCCCATTGTGAACCCCTAGATTGTGAACTGTAAAAACCTGTTTCTTTTTTAACCTCCCTCAGCCCTACTACACACCTTTAACCCAAGAGTTTTCTGTTTACTGTAAATAAGCCCTTGTGGTGTGGGTCAGCCCTAAGTCTAGAGGCAGAGCAGGAAACCAACTGACAGGGATTAAACAGGAGGGACATTGAGAGAAGGGAATTTAAGATAGTATGGGACGTGAGCTGAATGGGAAGGTCATCTGGGTGCTTTCTCTTCTCCAACATCTAGCTCCTGAGTCTTTATTAGTAAAATCAAACAGCTGGAATTTTTCTTTATAACAGGTAAATTTCACATAGTGTATGGCATTAATTTATAAATTAGATGATATGAGATCTATAGTTTATCAATATTTGAAGGTGCTAGTGCTTGATACCTTTATTCTGTGAGTAAAGTGCTCCCAAATTTTAATCTGGGAAAGAAAATCACTAGCATAACTATTTAGAAAAGGTTGATTACCATAAGCTTTCATATGGAATAATATAGATTTTTTTTATAAAACTTTGTTACAAGAGAGAATGTTGGTGTGAACACATCATACAGTTAGCATTTGGGATACATGCCGTGTTGCTTCCCTATGCAGTTTTAGTCTTGGCTGCAATCAGAAGAACCTAATGTATTGCTGGGCTTTATTTTCCTGTATTAGCTCCTCCAGAGTTACTGATCTATGAAATGGCAGAGAATGGAAAAAATTGTGACCAGAGACGTGTAGCAATGAGTAAGGAACAGCATAATGGAAGTTTCACAGGTAAGGAATATGTGGCAGCAATAATAACAAATATGTATCTCATCACTTAGTCTGACCAAGTAACCGACTTCTATCTTTTGCAGTGGCACATGCCTTTAAACCCAGCAGAGGCAGGCAGATATCTAACAGCCTGTTCTACATAGTGAATTGTAGGACAGCTGCGGCTATGTATTGAGACCCTTTCTCAAAACAGATAGCAGCAGAAATATCTAGCCTACACATGTCATTCCTCAATTTTATAGTTTTAGTCCAAATTCAACTGCTGGATTCTTTTTTGGGAAGGAAGAAGGGCAATTTTGAGACAGGGTTTCTCTGTGTATCCCTGGTTACTCTGTAGACCAGGCTGGCCACGTACTCACAGAGATGCCCCTGCTTCTGCCTTTGGAGAGCTAGGATTAAGGTGTGCACCTTCACACCTGGCTATCAACCGCTAGATTCTTAGTGCCTTTTGTTTAGAATACACACTATGAAAGGAATTAGCAAAGAGCGGGACTTTTAGTGTGTGTTGTTTTGTTTTTGTTGTATTTGTTGTTACCTCGGTAACACTGATGAGAAAACTCTGGGGCCAGTGTGGTGTGGTTCAGTGGTAGAGGACATGCACAGCATGTGTGTAATCCTAGATTCAGTCTTCACCAAAAACAAGTGGCAACCTTGACAATTCATTTTATTTCCAAGCCAATAAGGAATGGCTGAGTTTGGACTGTTGCCATTTTGCAGGATTATAGGCCTTGCTGTGAATGGCTACCTGGGACATGGATGAAACTTTCTTTCATCCACTGTAGTTCTAAGCAGTCATACATTGTACCATTCTTTTCCATAATAGCTGAAAAGAATCCCGCAAAGTCACTACTGATAGAGCAGAAAGACACAGGCAAGATGTATGGATACACGAGCAGCCATTGAGGCTTCAGTATGGGAACCGCCACACACAGCCTTGATAGTTAGCGATCTCAGAGATGGTTGTTAGAATTTTGTTGCACAGATTGCCTCCTCTACAGAGGGAGTAGTCTCAGTTTAGTACTTTGAACCCCTTTAATTTGCATAGACTCGAAGTTAAATCTCATTTCTACTTTTGAGATTTTTTGTATGCTGTCTTAGAGATATAAGATTGCAAGGTGAGTCGATTTTTATTCTTTAAAAATGTGGTACAGATGTTAGGAATTCTGTGTTAACTTCCATGCTGTTGTTTTTCAGACCCCTCTTCGGTACATGAAAAGAAGAAAAGGGATCGGGAAGAAAGGCAGAATATTGTCCTGTGGAGACAGCCACTCACTACCTTGCAGTATTTTTCTCTGGAAACTCTTGTAGTTTTGAAGGAATGGACCTCAAAGTAAAGAGTTTTCTATTCCTTTTTATATATAAGTTGTATCTACTAATTTTAGAAGGCCTCAGCCATCTCCTACTCCCTGCCATCTGTTTCACCAAAATGGATTAATTAAATTTAGAACATGATCATGGGAACATTTGTTTTCTTTTCGAGGGGAAAGGGATGTAGCTCAGTTAGAGTGCTTGACTCCCCCATAAAGCTGGCACCACACAAGAGCCAGGTTTCCAAGGTCCTCCTCTGCTGTAGGGGTCAAGATCAGCCTGGGCTACATAGGGACCAAGTCACCCCACCACCACCCTATCGCAAAAGGGAGAACAATAGATTGGGACATTTAGTTTGAAGAAAAATGAGTAAGGAAACATTACTACATGCTAGGTTATTATAGGTGTCTCGTGTTGGGCCTTCGGAGGGATGACATTGAAAGAGAATGGTGGGTTTTCTCCTGATTTTATCTTGAAGTCCAGCCTGTGAGCAGTAGATTACACCAAATCCAGTGAAAAAGAACCCTGCCTTGAAGTGTGTCCTGTCTTTAAGCTCCTTGCTCCGAGCTGTTTCAAATACCACAGCGAGCAAGTTGAACTTTCACGCCCTGCTATTTTCTTGTCCTTTTAAATAAGCTGTACTGTTATCTTATAATATTGTTCTACTTAAAGTTTATAAAACATTTTGCAACAAAGTTCAACTAATTTGATCCCTCTAGGATCTCCATGAAGAAGGAAAAGCAGATATATGGTTTCTATGATTATTTAACACAAATCCAATTGGTTAAATGTCTTGCTAAAAGCAATACCTGACCCAGCCTCTGGCTTGAAAGTTGGTGCTCTTCCTGTTGCACAGTAATACCTTTCCAAATTAAAAGATGAGGTGTGAACAAGATTAGGCTTTGAGGCAGGGAAAGGCTGTGTAAGGCTATATGATTAATTTGGGTTTGGGGCCTGTGAACCTTGACTGACTCCTTTCTACATCCCAACGGCTGTTTCTGCAAACTGCACGATTAATGTGACCTTGTTTTTATTTTCAATTTGTTTTTAAGATTGTGGCATCGTCAAAGCATTGTGGTGTCCTTTTTACTGCTGCTTGCTGTGCTTGTAGCTATGTATTATGTGGAAGGAGCGCACCAACAGGTAAGTGACCGAGCCATTCCCGTTCTGTAGTCACATGGCATTTCAGAATGAGGCTAACCTAAGTTTCTTAGAATTTATACCCTCAACATTTTTAAGCATACTTTTTCTTTTATCTGATAACTGTTATCTTAATGTCTTATTCTGTACAATAAAAATACCCAAGCCCTTTTTTGTAGCTGTTCAACATTATTTTGGTGTTTAGGATTCCTTTTTACCTTCAAAGATTTAAGCTAGTTTTTGTGTATTTAGTCAAAATAGCATAGATCTTTTCATCTCTGCCACAAAATCCTCATAATGTATATGATATGCCTTTCTGATCTGTCCAAACAAATTTGATCCTAGATTGAGAATTAGGGTTTTTTTTTATTTGTTTGTTTTTAATTTTTTTATTTACATGTGGTTTTTTGTTCATGTATTTATTCATTTACAGCCTGATCCCAGCCCCCGTCCTCCTCCTCTCTCAGCCCCATCCAAATGCTCCCTTCCCCTATCCACTCCTCTACACAGAGAAAGGGAAGCCCCCAAGGGGTACTAACCTACCCTGGTATCTCAAGTCAGGTGCTAAGCTTACCCTCTCCCACTGAGGCCAGGAAGGCAGCCCAGCTTGGGGAAAGGGATCCAAGGTCAAGCAACAGTCAGAGCCAGCTTCTGCTCCAAATGTTAAGGGACCCACAAGAAGGCCAAGCTCATATCTGTTATGTATGTGTAGGTGGTCTGTGCCTGGCCTATGCATCTTATTTGGTTGGTAATTCCGTCTCTGCATCTGTTTCCATCAGCTGCTGGATGAAGCCTCTCAGTTATGCTAGGCTCCTGTGTGCAATCATTAATAGTGACAGGGGTTGGCTATCTCCTACGGGGTAGGTCTCAAATTTGGCCAGTCATTGGTTTGCCATTCCCTCAATCTCTGCTACATCTTTATCCCTTCTTTTAGGCAGGGTAAATTTTGGGTCCAAGGTTTTATGTATGGGTTGGTATTACCCTCTCTCCATTGGAAGTCCCACCTGGCTGCTAGGAGTCCCAGCTAGGGTCAGTCCTGTAGACTCCTGGGAGCCTCCCCTGTCCGAGAGATGCCCCTCCCCACCCGTTTTCTGTCTTAGTCGTTCCCCCCACTATGCTCTCCCCTACATCTGATCGCACCCCTTCTCCTACCCGGTTCCCTTCCTCCAGCTGCTTCAGATGCCTATTTTATTTCCCCTTCTGATATTCTGAAAAGTTTTATCTCTCTACAGTCATAGTACCAATGGGAAAATAATGGGGTCACATTTTGTTAGCACCTTTTCATCAAAATAGTGAAATGTTAATCTATTTTAATAGGAAATGTTTTTAAAAGCTATCATTTTAAAATAATTTACTTCTAATGTTAGGGAAGGGTTTTTTTTAAAAATAGTTTTTAATGCATTTCCTATACCTAATTACCTAATCTTCATGTCTTGGTAGGAATTTGCAGTTAAGCTATCAATAGTGGCTCATGCCAGTAAGGTCAGCAGCGACAGAAGGATCACCCATGAGTTTGAAGCCAGCTGGTTTACAGAGTCCCAGGCTATCTAGGGGGGATACATAGTGAAATTCTACCGATAGATAGATAGATAAGTAAATAGCTGGGCTATGTTGGCACACACTGTTAGTAATACAGAAATTGTTTTCTCAGCTTTTACTTGAATAATCAAGAATGTATTCTATTTATAAAAATGTGATTGAAGTTGGGTGTGGTGGTGCACACCTTTAATCCGAGCACTCAGGAGTCAAAGACCTACAAATCTCTTGAGTTTGAGGTCAGCCTGGTCTACAAAGCAAGTACAGGACAGCCAGGGCTATTATACGGAGAAACCTTATCTCAAAAAACAAAAGGAAAAAAAACTGTATAATTGTCTACCACCTTGGTATTCCGAGACAGATTCTCTACATAGCCCTGGCTGTCCTTGAACTCACTATGTAGACCAGGCTGGCCTAGAATTCAAAGAGATCCTCCTGCCTTTGCCTCCAAACTGCTGGGATTAAAGACCAAATTGGAATTAAATTTATCAAGTTTGTAAATTCTAAATCATTTTCAAGTGTTTATTCTTAGCATCACCATACTAGGCTGGTCATGGTAGCATACATGTATAATCACACCTCCCAGGAAGGAGAAGCATGAGGATCAGCTGAAGGTCAAGGCCCGCATGGACCACTTAGAAGGGATCAGGCCAGGCTGACTACAGTATGAGATCCTGTCTCAAGAAATCAAAGAGGAGAAAAAAATAATAATAATGATTACCATACCTGTGGTTTGTTTTTTGTTTTTACCCCTGTGACCACTTATTCTGCCTGGCTTTTTTTTGTTCTCGCTGCTATAGTACACTGACAGTGTGAGACCTCTTCAAGGAATTTGTTGTCTTAATGTTTCTTAGTTCATCAGAGCTTTGTTAAGCTCACTAATCATGGTGCTGCTAGGTGCTGGCACGCTCCTGGGCAGGGTATTCCGGTTTATACCTTGTCCCTTTTGTTTTTCAGTATGTGCAGCGGATAGAGAAGCAGTTTCTTTTGTACGCCTACTGGATAGGCTTGGGGATTTTGTCCTCCGTTGGTCTTGGAACAGGATTGCATACCTTTCTGCTTTATCTGGTAAGAATGACTTTCTTTAATGAGCAAAACCAAAGCACATTCTTCTGACTTTATTGGCACATTTACTTCAAAAGCTACAGTTCTGAAATCTGTATTTCCAATCTGAAATTGCGTCTGTGGTTTGACCTGTTCTGATCTTCATGTTCATCTTCATGCCCATGTTCAGCTTCTTGTTATGCTCTGCATTTCCTTTGGCCCTAAAGAGTTAAAAGGGGAAAAGGGGGAGTAAACAGTTAAGCAAATACTGTTGTTGACTCAAATTAGTTCAGCCAGAAAATGTTTTTCAGTTTAAAAATTATTAAGTAATGATTATTTTGCTTATGCAATTGTTATTTTAATAGTTTAGGTTAATTTCAGTATATGAAATTCTGTATAAAGCTCAGAACAAGGCATACCCATAACCAGCACTTGTGAGGCTGAGGGATAGATTGCCTTGAGTTTGAGGCCAGGGTAGGCTGGGTAACAAGGTGCACAGGACCAGTGAGATGGCCCAGCCAGTAAGGAGCTCCCTGTCAAACCTGATGACCTGGGTTCAATACTCAGAGCCCATGTGAAAAGAGGAAGAGAGCGGACTCCTGCAAATTGTTATTTGATCTTTATAGGTGCTCAGAGTGTAACACACATGCGCACGCACACACACACATGCTTTCAGACACACACTCACATAGATATTATCTGCACATACATGCACACACACATATACCATACATAAATACACACCCATACCATATGCATAATATTTAGCAGTTACTAAGGAAATAATAATTGCTTCTCCAGGAATTTTATTTTTATTTCAGATTAAATAAGCATGCATATATGAACATGATTCTAAAATTCAGAGATGGGGCCTTCCTACGTTGCCCAATCTAGCTTCAAACTCCCAAACCCCCTACTATAATCCCCCGGAAGCAACTAGTACCATATGCCACTGGGTCTCGCTTAAAATTTCAAATTTTAAAGTAAACTTAGAGAAATGACGATCAACTTCCAAATTATCCTTGAGATCATTAATTCATCACTCCTATGCCAAGCATTCATGGCACAATATTAACATACTGGTTTCAGAAGTGAATTTAGTATGTATAAAGCACATTTGTTTGAAATGAAGAGTGTGTGTGTGTGTGTGTGTGTGTGTGTGTGTGTGTGTGTGTAGGCCAGATGTAAGCACGAGGTTCTTCCTCAACCACACTCCACCATGTTCTTTGATACCGGGTCTAAATAAACCTGGAGCTCACAAGTTTCCTGGATGCCTGGCCAGGAAGCCACAGTGCTGGGATTACATGGGATTACAAGCATACCTTTCAGCTTTTCAAATAAATGCTGGGGATCTGGACTCAAGTCTGTATGATTAAACTGAACCATCTCTCCAGCCCTACCTATACTGCTAAATTCTTAGTGATATAATACTGCTGTACTCACACACAGGCCAGAGGAAAGACAGAGTCTAGGATATATCATTCTATTCTTTTTTTCTTTGTGACAGGGTTTCTCTGTGTAGCTCTGGCTGTCCCAGAGCTCTGTAGATGAGACAGGCCTTATAGAGATCCTCCTGCCTCTCCCTCCCAAGTGCTGAGATTAAAGGTGTGGGCTGCCACCACCCTATTCTTCTGGCCTTAGCTAGGCCCACCATGTAGTATCTCTTGGGGAAAAAAAGATGAAGGGACTCATTTGTAACAGATGGCTAACCTAAGATCACCTGAAAAGCCTGTGTAGCAGATTCTATTGAAACAGTAAAAGGAATTCAAATGAATCCTTTCTAAATTACATACAAATTTAGTATGCCGGGGCCAGCCAGCAGAGTCGAACGGTTCTTGAGTTGGGCGTGAGGATTAAAATTAATAAAATAAACACACAGCATACAGGAAACTTTTTAAAGGTCCAGACTCAACAGCCACGGCAAAAGGCAGACTGCTGCAGCAAGCAGTGCCAGCAGCAAGCCTCAAGTCTCTGCCTCCAACTCTGTCGCCAGCCCTCTGACCACTTTATTTGAGAGGAGTTACTTTTTGCCAGAAAAACATCTCAGAACAATAGGTTAATTTGCACAAGGAGCTAGAGGAAGAGGTGTGACCCTCACAAGCTATCCCACCTGCTGTCACAAACAAAAGGAGATGGACTTGCAAGCTCTCTGCCATTAGTAAAGGCCTGCTAAAAGCCATCTTTAAATCTCAAAGCCGGCCGCTTGGAGTCACAGCTCCCGACATTAGTGTAAAGACATTTGAGGACTGGGAGATAATTCAGTGAGTGAAGTGCTTTCTGAACAAGTTTAAGGACCTAAGTTTGAATCACCATACTTGATGAAAAGCGAGACAGGGTAAGGTAGCACATGTCTGTGATCCCTTACTTCTGAGGAAATAGAGGTGGAAACAGGAGCCCACTAGCCATGTAGTGTGCATCAGATAATGCTAGAATTTGTCTCAAACAAAGTGACATTTGAGGATCAATGCCTGATGTTGTCCTTTAATCTCCACATGGCCACCGTATAGTCTTGGATACACACAACCCCCCCCCAAACACATACCCAGATCTTTCTTAAAAAGCAAATTTGAAGCGAGGAAATTTTGTTTCTTATTTTATATGCTTGAGAAATAATAATAAAGTGTTTGTAAAATTCATTTGAAAGCATTATTTTTCTGTCTCCACTGATCCCGGTATTCAGTAAAGGTATTCAGAAGCATACAAGCACACAGAGGGTCTAGCCCAATTGCTCAGCTCAGTTTAAGCCCGAGAACCTGAGCTCTATCCCGGGGCCCCAGATGGTAAAAGGAGAGAAATGACTCTTCGCACAAGCCATTCTCTGACCACCATACATGTGCCATAGCACACACATGCCTATTCATACAGACACATAAACTAATAATAATATCAACAATAATAGACTTGTATTAATAAAGTTTATTATATAATTAATGTAAAGGAAAAGTGAAATCTTTGTCTTCATGAATAAGCATTTCTACACTTGATCAGTGTGCCAATTTAATAGAATGTGGTTTTAATTTTAATGTGTATGAGTGTTTTGTCTTTGTAAGTCTGCATCGCGTGTTTGCCTGGTGCATGTGGAGGAACTGGAGTTACAGGAGGCTGTCTTGTGGGTGCTAATTGTTGTATGATTTGTTTGTTTGTTTGTTTTGGACACAGGTCTCACTCTATAGCCCTGTCTTTCCTGGAACTCACTATGTAGACCAGGCTTTCCTGGACCTTACAGAGAGAGTTCTTACTGCCTTTGCCTCCTGAGTGCTGAGATGAAAGCAGGTACCACCATGCTGGACTCATTTGTTGTTATCTAGGAAATATTATTGTGTTTGGGACATCTTTTATAATAAGCCTTTATGTAACCCTCACTTAGATGTGATGATAACATTCTGATGTCCTACTTTTTGTGCTGGTGAAATAGACACCTCTACCTTGTACTCATATAACCCTCAGTGTGGAGGCCAAGTAACCATGTAAGGAAAGTAGTCTGGTCAGAAATATAGCCCTCTTCTTGGCAGCAAGTAAGTGAGTTCTTACAGTTCTAATGACTAAAGGTTAATGTTTTCCTTTATCATGATCATGTCTACTAAAGATTATGACTTAAAAGTAATATGAAAATGATTTGTATTTCATATCCATTGATTTCCACAGTGGAAGTTGCCTTTCTGGAGTTACTCTTTTTTAATTGTGACTGAACATACACCAGATGGTCACTTAAAAGACTAAAAAGATTAGATCTTAAAGTGAAGTCTTACTTTTCAGTTAATGAACAATTTCCTTCTTTTTAACTTGAAATTGGAGTATGTGGGAATTCTCATCCTTGTGTAAGTACAGCTGCTGTTTGTGTAAGAGTGGTGTTTGTGGACCACAGACAAAGTGGTTCAGCAGTTAGTAGGATGGCTGGTAGGGCCACTAGGTTACATTGTTTGTTCTCCTAATTTTAATCACTGGCTTTAGGAGGCCTATTAATTTCCGAAACACTGTACTCTTCTGTCTAGAAGAATAAGCTTTTTTTTCCTCTGTGTTGAAAAAAAACAAAAAACCTAAAGTGTTCATATTCTTCAAAAACTGTCATCCATAAGTGGTTTGAAATCATTCTTCTAGGGGGCTGGTGCTCTTGCTAAGGACCTGGGTTCAATTCCCAACCCCATGTGGTAGCTCAGCTTCATCCATAATTCCAGTTTTAGGGACTATGATGCCCTCTGCTGGCTTCCACAGGTATCAGGCTACTACACATGTATGCATGCATGAAGAATACATGTAAAATAAAAGAAATCTTAAGATCTTAAAAAGAGAAGACAACCATTCTTCTAGAGTTTGTTAGTCTAAAATAATTTTTAAAGGCTCAGTGAATGCATGAGGATTCAAAATATTAATTTTTTCCTAATAGTTTTTCACATTCTTCAACACAAATTATTTTTTTTCCATTGACTTGCATATTTATATATAGGAAATAATTCCCACAACTAAGTATCCTTGCTGGTCTTAAACTCTTGGCACCCTTCCTATCACCGCTTCCCAAATACTGTGACTACAGAATTGCAGCACTATGTCTAGTTTCTCATCCTTTAACAGTCAAGACTATAGAAGTCCTGGTTATGTAAGAAATAGAATCTAGTAGCGAGGTTGGAATGTCTACTCCAGTAATATTAGCTATACAGTTTCTGACAAATTTTGTTTGTTTGTTTGTTTGTTTGTATTTTATGTATATTGGTGTTTTGCCTGCATGTGTATCTGTGTTAGGGTATTAGAGCCCCTAAAACAGGAGTTATAGACAGTTATGAACTGCCATGTGGGTGCTAGGAATTGAATCTGGGTCCTCTGGAAGAACAGTCAGTGCTCTTAACTGCTGAGCCGTCTCTCTAGCCCAACAGATTTCTTAACTTTTTGAGACAGAGTTTTTTAGTTCCAGCTATCCTGGAACTCTGTAGACCAGGCTAGCCTGGTACTCACAAAAGAGTTCCCCCTGCCTCTGCCTCAAGTGCTGCGAATTCAGGACAGCCAGGGCTATACAGAGAAACCCTGTCTTG